TTGCTTCCACTTCACAATTGTATACCACTTTGTGTTGGTCTTTCACATTAAATTCCAGTGAAATATATTTATGTTTGTGGTTGGAATGTGACAAATTATGGAAAAGTTCAAGGGGTATGAATACTTTTGCAAACCACTGTAGATGCCTGAACGTGCTTCCAAATATTTCAATTTTTGCTTTGTCTGTGTGGCTCTTTTGTGAAAAACTCCCAGAACACACCCAGTTTTGTCTTGTTTTTGGCAGAAATGTAAAATAGGCCTGTTATGTTTCTGTGTCTCAGTGCGCAGGAACATATTTACTAAACCGGTTGTTTGGAAAGTAACAAACAAGACTTTTATTCTTTATAGGAAACTGAATATTTTAATCAGGAGCAATTTCGAACTCTGAAGAGAGTGGGGATAGACATGGAGTTTTACAGTCAAGTGGATGTTATAAACTCTGTGTTTATGTGCAGCTGTATATTTCTTTTGCAGTTATTTCTTTAAAATGTTGCTTAAAGTAAAACTAAACATGCTTTTGATCTTAGCTGTAAAGTCTGCACGACATTCTTTGTTTGTACGCTACACACGTTTCACTAAATTGCATCATTCTTATTTTCTGCAGCCCGTCTCTTCAACTCCACTGCTTCACTGTCCATTTTTCATCACAATCTTTATTTCATTATTTTGACATTTAAAAAATATGGTCTTTCTTCTCCTTTTCTGAAATCTTGCATTTATCTTTAGCGTCTGTAATTATTATTGTTTAGTAAAATACCTGCTCCCTCCTATTTCTTATCTGAGTCTAAGCTTGAGTGTTCATTTTCTTCCCTTTTGTCTAATCCACCAGGAACCTTGTGGAATCTGTCATCATACGAGCCCCTGAAGATGGTGATCATCAACCACGGCCTTCAGACCATGACCAACGAGGTCATCATTCCTCACTCGGGCTGGGAGCACGAACCTAACGAAGACTCCAAGCCTCGCGATGCAGAGTGGACCACAGTCTTCAAAAACACTTCAGGCTGCCTCAGGTAACTCCGTTTCCTGCTCCAGACTGTGAAATGAATTTATTCACAGTTCTACACCTACACAAACATGATGACTTGTGAGAGACTTGTATGTCTACTTTTGAACAGGATGATGATGGACAGCAGAAACATTATTTATTAAAAGGAAGTGCYGCTTTTTTWAAATAAAAATGACAGAACTCWGAAAAAGTCTGCAATTGAATTAGCYTTAGTTGAATTTTGAATATCTCTCACCTGAATAACAAAAATAACAAATATATCAAGTCATAAACAAATTTCAGATATCTGAAATGTAGGTGTGGTGAAGCTGATTAAATGTAAAAATGGATCAATGCATAGGTTTAGGTTTAGGAGAATGGTAAAATTTGGTTTGTTGAAGAAATATGAAATAGTATGATGTGTATCCATAACAATTGTTTGAAGAAGATTTGATGTTTTTTTATTTTGTTTTGTTACATAAAGATTATTATTCTTTGAATTTATTTGATGGAGAAAAGGTGCAGATGTAAGATTATTTTTCTGCTGCCTTTCAT